AGAAGATGCTATTTTTACTCGATCACTTTTTAGAATAGAACAATTGTTATTGCATGTAACTCAAGTACTTGCCAAATACGCTTTAATGTAGCCTTAATTGATCTGCTTAAAGTTTTAAGCAGCCAGCAGTATTCCCACTGAAACATGTAGTTATGAAAGGTTTGACACAGTAGGCAGTGAGTGCACAGAGGTAGCGATTGATCATAGATTTATCTGCTAAGCCTTGAGCCTACAGATGGAGAGACTAAGACTTTCCATCTGCCCATGCAAAACTTTGGATATATCAAGGCTGTGCTTTGAAGAGTGCCTTCAGGCTTTCTTCTGGACAGGATTCACAGAGTACCCTCTAGGAAAAGACAAGGCTTGCCCCAGATGCCAGTAACTTACAGTGGCTCTTGGTGACTTCTGTGTACCATCAAGCATACTCAGACAAGCTGTCTCTTGGCTGCTTACCATCTGGGAGACAAGCATGCACAGGAGTAAGGTGGGGGTGGCATGGGGAAGAGCACTCACCTTGCCCTGCAAGCTCTTTTGAAACCGCATGTGCACCCTGGAGAGATCTGTGTGGGCATGAACTGGCTCACATTATGGGCTAGCTTCTGCAGGGCAACAAATTCTCTTGCTCTGTATACATGGAAAGACTTGAGCTTGTGTTCCACCATATGTAAAAAGTACAAAGTGTATTGAGTCCTCGTTTTTTAGGACAGATGTGGGGTCATTTTGACATTTTGGATGCTCCGCTTACTACTTTTCTCTCAGAGATTTTCACTCTCATAACTTGGCAGATCTCAGCAGTCTTTTTAGATTCTGAAAAAGTGGATATTTTCCATTAGATTCAGCTTTACCATTAAGTTAGGAGTACAAGAGCACTTAAGTACCTTTGTTTTACATAATAGTTTGTTTCATAAATGTAATTTTTGGATCTATGTTATTGTGTCAGCCAGCACCATTCATTATGTGCTTGTTGCTGTACAGTCAGAGCTCTATAGAACATCCACCCTCCTTCCTCAAAAGGAAACAAATTCCCACCACAGAAAGCTTTCAATACAAGTTGAACAACAATTGTTGGGGGAGCATGAAGAGAGATTAATCAACTGAGGTGGAATTTTCAGCATGGAAAGGAGAATATAAGTGATCTGAATCTGGATGAAGGGCTGTATTACTGAGATGAGGATGATATATGAATATTGAGATTGTATGGAAGAATATTGGACGAAGTTCTGTTTCAAAATCTGATGATGCTGCTGATAGTGGTGTTAGGCTGATACTGTGAGCTGATTTGGAGGGTGTTTGTTGTCTTGATGTACTGTTAAAATTGATGTACTGTTAAAATTTGGGACTGATGAGGTGGACGCAGTTTGGTAGAATGAAGAGGTGCTGAGGCAGCAGGGATATTGTCCAAGGAGCAGTGTGGGAAAATGGTCTGAATGCAGAGGACAGGGTGAGCTAGTGTTAGCCAATACCAGGGTAAGGAGGAGTAATGATTTGAACAATATTTTAGCCAGAAACTATTTTGTCTGGAGAAAGATTTTTTTCTAGATGAATGCCATTATGTCCTAAAAGAAATTCAAGATGTGTCAGCTAAGAGAGAGCGCATGGGCTGTGGTGAAGTTAGTGATTTGTGATTATTTTCTAAGAGCTGTTTAGACTCAGTTCTATGGGATGTTAGCCCTGGGTGCTGTCAGCCTACCAAGCCCCATTAGGTTTGATAGTTGATCCTGGGTTTTGAGCTGACCTTATCTAGCTAAAATTATATAAGATGTAGATTTAAGGAGAGAATAAATTATTGACCAAACATTGACCTCTTTTGCTGCCTTTAACAAATCCTGAAAGGGAACCATTTTGATTTGTATTGACTTTTGAAAGGAGGCAAGAGCTCCACATCTGTCTGCCACAAAGATGGATCTATGTATTCTGTGTGGTAACAGGAAATAACAGACCTATGCAAGGAAATATTCCTTGCCCCTATTTTCTGTGTAGCTGAGGGTTGGAGATAGCACTAGAAGAAAGTAATAGAGCTGGCTACCTAAAGATGTGTCATGACAAAGAAAGATAAGCTTTGCCAAGTGGCTAAGATACTTATTCTTCTTAGGAGATTAATACCCCTAGAAAATCAAAAAGTTTTCTCTCCCCACTTCCCCTCCTTCCCCTTCAATTCTAGCAACTCTGGAAAAGTCCCCTAAGACAGCTTTTGTTTCTTTTAACCACTCACCTGTTTTCAATTAAAAGGCAGTGGGCATCTATGTAATTGCTAGCAACCTCTTCCATTTTTTCTCTTTTGTATCCTGAAGGAGCTCAGTAAAAGGCATTGCTGAAAAAGCACTAGCATTCATTACTCTTGAATGCATGATGGGCTAAGAGTCAAGCAGCATCTTGCCAAGTGACTTATTTAATTTTTAAGCCATCCAGGTACTTATAGATTTGTAAAGCTGTTGAAGTTGGAAAAGAGCTTTAAAATCAAGTCCTAACCTTAACCCGGTACTGACAAGTCCACCACTAAACCATGTCCTCAAGTGCCATGTCTACATGTTTTTTTTAAATTCAGGGATGTTGGCTGCCCCACTTCCCTGGGCAGCCTGTTCCAATGCCTGACAACCCTTTCCACGAAGAAATTTTTCCTAATATCCAATCTAAACTTCCCCTAGCCCAACTTGAGGAGTTTTCCTCTGATCCTGTTGCTTGTTACAGTGGGAAGATGCTGACCCCCCACCTGGCTACAGCCTCCTTTCAGGGAGCTGTAGAGAGTGGTAAGGTCTCCCCTGAGCCTCCTTTTCTCCAGGCTGAACACCCCCAGCTCCCTCAGCTGTTCCTCTCAGGCTTGTGATCCAGATCCTTCCCCAGCTCTGTTGCTCTTCTCTGGATGTGCTCCAGCCCCTCAATGTCCTTTTTGTAGTGAGGGACACAGCATTCGAGGTGTGGCCTCACCAGTGCCAAGTAAAGTCCACATAGGCAACTTCCACAGCCGATTAGTCATCATGGTATTGAAACCTGTATAATTTGCTCCCTGTAATGCATGGTAAATTAGTGCTATAAACCAGAAGGATCTCCTTGTTCATCCCATGTCACCCTTCTCCCTAATCTCTATTGATTCAGGGCACTGGGAAGGGAGGAATTGCAATTCACAGGAGACTTGCTGCTGGCAGTGTTCTTCCAGGCAGTTTATGTCCCACTGTGCTACCTAATTTCTCTTTGGTGATCACTGGAACTGGGCTGACAGCCAAAAACTGCCTGCTTCTGAATGTTGCTGTAGTGTGTTAGGGTTCCAAAGGTGTCTCTAGGAGCCTTCCTATTCAGCTAGGGAAAATTCTTGCCAAAGACGGAGGAATTTTTATGGATCATATTTGGTATCAAATGTGTTTTCGCTGCTGATCTGCCCTTGCTGGAGCAGGGTGTGCTGGGAGTACTTTTACAGGTCAGTTAAGATACATTTACATTTTTTGTACAGGGAGGATTTAATTAGGTTACTAACAAAACAGTTTTCATTCTCATTGTGCTGTGAAAACAGTCAGTCTTGTAGGATCACATCTGTCTGTGGTCTGGAGGATAGGCAAATAAGTTGCTAGTAGTTGTTTCTTTCAGGTGTATAGATATGATCTAGAGGAGCTAGATAATAGTAAGGGGATATAATCTATCCACATTTTTTTTTGTGTGTCTTGAGGCACACTGATGTAAATACAAACCACAGAACAAATTTCTTTTTACGTTCCTATAGAAGGTGTTCCTATCCTTGGCTTGCAGATGTATATATTGTAGTGGTTGCAGAGATCACTTGTCTTTTAGAAATATTTGGATGTTTTTAAAGATTCCAAGGGAAAATGGTCAACATTTTGGCCTCTGCTTTAATTCTGTACCAAGGAATTCCTGTAACTTAGGCTCAAAGTTTTCAATTAAGACTCTAGGATTTAAGCTGAATAGATTTTCAAAACGTGCTATAGTTAAAGAACCCTTTGCTTTCTCTGGCAGCTTGAGCCAGTTTCTTGTGAGAGGCTTTTAAGAGCTGATCTGTAGCTGGTAGAAACTGGTAGTTCTGATTTCTTCCCCAACTCCCCATCCTTTGCTTCTAAATCAACCAAGAGTAAAAGGACAGCTTTTATTTTGGCTGTACATTGTAGTTTAGGTTTCTATTTAGATCTGTCAAACATTGCACTACAGTATCTGAGCGAAGTTCTTTTGTACATAGAGGAAATTGGGACCATTAATTACAAGTAGTGCTAAAAGTAGCCCAGTTATGCAGGAACATAAATGCAAAAATCAGCCACATAAAGGGGAAGTTGTCTCAGGATCCACACATTTTTTAAATCACTACTATGTGTGTGAATGCTGAAACTGTGAAAATCTGGGCAGAAAACAAACTACTCCCATAGTTCTAAATGGGCATTTCTCTTCTATAGTTTGCATTTGTTTTATTTTCTTCTCTGAAAGCTTTCCTTATTCTGCTGTCATTAGTCTCTACCTCATTATATACTCCCAGGGAGTACATCCCTCTTGCTTGTTAGGATAGTGTAGGTGGTAACTTGCAGTGGTACAAAGAACTGAAGGAGAGATAATCAGCTGAATAAGTCATTACTTTGTGCAGAGACTGACTTGCTGATTTTTTTGTGCATGGCTTACTTATCCCGCATTCTTTAAGACCTAGAATGTTGTAGGAATTTAAAATGCAATAGAAAACCTTCAACTTGTTTGCCTAGAAAGGGAAAAAAGGTATGGTTGGATGATGAACGTTTAATAAAAGCTCTAAGTTGAGGGTCTTGGTTGCTCCAGTGAATCCAGCAGAGCACAGCTCCACATGGTAGCCTGCACTACATAAATTTATGCAGTGCTGCATTCCTCTCACTTTCTCAAATATCTCACCTTGAATGCACATCAAGGTGCAGATGGTTCATTTGCTTTGGTCTGACACAGCTCTGGTTACCACATGGCACTTCTCAGTAGTTCGTGCTAAATGTTTGAAACGTTGGTTTCTCCTTTCCTAAAGCAATGTTTCTCATATTTTTTCCCAGCTATCCATTGCAATCTGAATCCAAATGGTATTGATCACCCTGTCCCCACAGAAGGTATTAACCTGCAGCTTGAAGGCGAAAGAGTTGATTCGCTCGCGGTTAAGAACACTGGTACTCCGAAAGGGCCCGAGTCAAAAGACACCCCCAAGAGACAAGTGGAGCCGGAAATATCTAAGGTAGGTAGGATTTCCTTCATATTTATTTTTGTGAGTCTTTAAGAATCCAAGCTTCTTGAAGTCTTGGCTTCTGCTTAAATAGAATTTATCATCCTGTTAAAGATATATAAAGGTGTAAAAATAGCAGTATGAGGAAGTGGGTGTTACAGAAGCAAGGTACTGCTGTGGATTTGTAGCATACACACGTCTTGGATATTGCACTATTCTGTTTTTCTCTAAATGAAGATAATTAAAGTAATGGGATCTCTCTTTTTCAGACACTGTGGAGACTCTTTTTCCAAATGATTTGGCTAACAAGCAGAATGGGCACAGAAATGTTTTTCTTGAGGTTTTGTTTGTTTGTTTGCATATTTATTTTTTCTTGGGGCAGGTAAAGGAGGAGAAAAGTTCTATGGATATATGAATATATGGATTTTTATATGGGGGACTGATTTTAATAATCTGTTACTTATTTTAGGTAAAATACCAGGATGGTTCTTCCATGTGTGATATGACAGTAAGCAAACATAGTTTAGAGATAAGTTCCTGAAAACAAATGTGTCTGTTCTTACTCATAAGCTTCTACTTCTTGTATGAGTGCAGCAGACGTAACTACCAAGTGCAAGTGAATGTGTGTACTCAAGATACTTTGGTATAGGACAATAATTTGTCATATTAGATACATTTTTTAACTGGAATCACAGAATATTCTGAGTTGGAAGGGATCCCACAAGGATCATCAAATCCAGCTCCTAAGTGAATGGCCCATACAGGGGTTGAACCCACAAGCTTGGCATTACTAGCACCAGGCTCTAACCAAGGAAGCTGGTCTCAGGGTCAAAGGAAAAATAAGAGAATGTTATAAAATAATTGGGAAACATTCTTTAAAAGCCTTATCAGTATTTTTGGTTCTTAAAGGCCTAAAACCAGGAGTTTGGAGGTAATTTCTGCAGAGTGGAAAATTGAGTCTTTATTGAATCTGACACATTGAGAGTTATTAGAGCAAATAAAATTAGTGTCTTTTTTCTAACAGGTTCAAAAAGGCAAGAGAAATTATTTCAATGACTGAACAAATAGGAGTATTTCCTACTGCCAACAGTACAATAAACCTAAAAAATAATACACATATGGTTGTGATGCATTTTTCTTTTAGAATCAAATAGTATTAAATGTTCGGAGCAATTACCTTGACAATAAAGGCTTGGTAATAATTCTCCATTCTAATTTTTATCTACAATATCTAGTTGAAATGTAATAAATTTAAATTAATACAATTTAACTCATTTCATTCTGACTTAATGCATCAAACTAGATCCTCCATTACAGGCTTGCAGCAATTAAAAAAACCCCGCTACTTGTAATCTGTTTGGTGGCCATTTATCAGACAGAATCACAGGACCACTAGGTTGGAAGAGACCTTCAAGATCATCAAGTCCAACCCATGCCCTAAACACCTTAACTAAACCATGACACCCAGTGCCATATCCAGTCTTTTTTTTAACACATCCAGGGATGGTGACAAGCACCATTTATCAAGCACCTTGCTGATTTGTCATGAACCCTTACAGAACAGGTTTGTGGTTACTGCTTTGAAATATCCATTTGATAACAAGACCATCAAATTTTGGATGAGTTTTGAGACAAAGCTCAGCTAATAAGGCATTTGTCCAGCTGTTCACAAAGGCAAGCTAACCCTACTCATGTTTCAACATCAGCAGATGAAAATCTGCCCTGTATTGAAAGCTGAGGGGGTGTATTAAAATTTGGAGACATACAAGCTTGGGAGTGAAGAAGCAAAATGGTGCAACAGGGCTCCCAACTGAGAATGGGCTTGTGTAGCTGACATGGAATACAGTCATTTCAAAAGACTTATCCTAATGAAAAATCAGAGTGAAATAAATCAGTGATAGTAAGGGAGTCTGCTTTCAATGTCTGAGCTGTGATTGTTGGACTGATGAATATGAAACAGGCTGTCTTTGCTGGAGATGGTGGGGGAAGAGGGGAAGTGTGCTCTCAAAGGGGAAGGTGCTCTCAAAGTACTGAAATCCAGTATTGGTTTCCCACATCTGATTGTAGTAGCTTCATTTAGAAAACTGGGCATGCTTCAGATTTAAAAACAAAAAACGGAATTTTTGCTTAATGGAATAAGCTTAGCATAAGTGAATCAAGCAAATGGAATGGACTATTTTTTCTAAATGTATTGCTTTATTGCCTTGTTAGTAACTTTGTCTTTTATGTATGTAGTAATTTAGCGATGCTTTTCATCTGGATTCATATGTTACAGCCTGAGGTGGCCTGTCTTTTCTGGCTTACTCTGCCTTAACTTTAAATGCTGTTTTGCTTTGTCCTCTAAAATGTGAATATGGAGTTGGACTTCAGTTTGTGTAGCTTTAAGAGTTGAATTAAGCTGCCATTAGGAAACTTCATCCATGTAATCATATATGTATAGTGGAAAGATGAGCAGGAATTCAGGAAAGTTTTGTAAATAAAACATTGTGATCAGAGCCATTTGCTTTATATTTCCATTGCACAGTTGTTTTTAAAAAGGATTTCTTCCTAGTTCTGTGTATTCAAATAACATCAACACATACCTCATATTCACAGTAGTGAGACCTGTGTTGCACAAAGCAGTGCAATGTATTGAATATAATTTAAGATGCCTTCTGTTCCTTCTTTGAGCTTTCTAATTTGTCATCAAGATCACTTCCAGCACTTTAAACATCTGTTTTTGCTGTCCAAAGAAACAAACAAAATCTCCTTTGTAATGAAGTATGTCCTTCCTTTTCTGTCCTCAGCTATGGGATTAAAGTACAGTAGTAACTCATGGGTTACAGACAAGTTTAAAGTTCCTTTTTATGGAACTACTGTAATGTAAATATGGGAGTACAAGTATTTGATTCTATATTTGGGATGCAGACAACAGAAAGTGTAGCTCCAGTGAAGGTTCATTCATTTATAAGTTCCTGATTAATATGGAATCTAGTATTTATAGGCTAACTGAGGTAGAATTATAATGCAAATTGGAATAACGATCTTAGTCTCCCTCAGCTGGTTCCCTGAGGAACCACCTTGTTACAAATATGAGCAAGTCCAAAACCAGCAAGATTATTCAGAGCTAAACTAATGTCTACAATCTAGTCAGACTCTAACAATATACAGGATATAATACAAATTAAGGAAAAGATATGAAGTGTAAAAATGCTTCATTTTTTTATTCAGGTATATCAATATACACATTTTCTTCAGTAACTGATTTTTCAGCATTCCTGATAGATAAAAACAATTCAGGCAGTTGAGTAGTCACTTTCACAGAGCAGTAAAAGTCACTGGAGAAAGCACGAATGGTTTCTTAATATATGTTTTACGAATATAAATTCTTTCTTTACCACCTATATTTAACCACTGTTATGTGTTTTTTCTGGAATTCTTATATTTTTTCATTGAAATGCTACTTCTGGCTCTTATGTCTCATCTGTTTGGTTTTAATACCATAGTCACACAGTAGAGTTCTGTTAAAAACAAGCTAACAAAGATTTTGCTATATTTTTGGAATCCTGTACTTTTCTGAATATAGGCTTTAAGAGAAGGCAGCTTTTCTAAGGAGATTCAGAAAATGATCTTTTGCAGCAGTGTTGACTTGTAATCAAGTCCTCCTGCATGATGTACTCACAAAGCCTTGTTGATGGTGAGCATAAGACCCAAATCTGGGCTGTTACTCATTAGGAGGTTATTTATTCAGGGAGTTTTCTTTCCTAAGTAAGGTGTGCATACCTGGTAACACATTTTGTCTCATTATGTGGTAGCAGCAATAGCAAATAATAGAGGCTTTTTAATGGCAACCACTGCTGTTAGGTTTTTTGTGTTGTGTTAGCAATTGCAGGTTTTTTTTATCTGACTCGAGAGAAATTAACAGTCCTTTAAAATGTTCATGAAAACTATGAAAAGAAACTGGTAAAAGAAGTGAGAAGCTTTTATCTTGTCTTCTGTTGATAAGTGCTATATAGGGATCAGTAGACTATGTTTTGTTGCAGTGTAGCTCATTAGTTCTTTTGGTTGCTTTTTGCTTTCTTAAAAATACCCCTTTTTTTTTAATTATATTGAACAACACTGAAGGGGCTGACTGAACTCAATACCAAGAGGATAAGAATTCATCTCAGCTTACTGGGCTCTGTTCAGCACTGACTGGGGTGGAAACAGCTCCTCTGGCTTCCCTGGGAGGATCTGCTCTGATCAGCAAGTGTTTGGGAGGGGTGGGGGGTGTCAAGCATGTGATGAAAAGTTGAAGCACGGAAGAGTAAGGATTTTAAGTGATAAGGTGTTACAGAATTCCTAGAGATATTAAAATTTTGTCAGTTATTTAAATTTAAAAAAAGAGTCTTGGTAGTGTTGTCTAACAAGAGACTAGGAAAAGTAATTTTCCAGAAGAATTCTCCATTTTTTTAATCAGTGGTTTCTGCTTCACAGTGTTTATTCTTTTTGGTCAAGCTTATCAAATGGGTTGGGTAAGAAAGACACTATTAGGCCAGTCTGGGTGAGGCTCTAAGCCAACTGATCTCATGGCAGAGGGGTTTGAACTAGATGATCTTTATGGTCCCTTCCAACCCAAACCATTCTATATCCCCCCTGCCGCCCCGCACTTTTTTTAACCTTTTTTTATAGTTGAGAAACACCAATGCCCACTGAACTAGGGCAATGAGGTTTTGCCATTTTGAGTTGTCTTCCTATTCTCTTCCTCTTGTGAGACTTCTGGTGGCCACAGGATATGGGGAAAAAAAAACCACATTGAACTGATTAAAGTTAAGAAACATTTTTCTGTTGAAGTGAAGGTTCAGCAAAACCCCAGATGGGCTGTTCAGCTCCTCCCGATTTTGCTTTAAAATTGTGTGTCAGGGTGTATGAATTGCAGATCTCTCTGTGTTTCTGAGTGAGGTACTGACTCTGGATGGGGAAATGTTACTTTACTGAAATATAGTTTTTATTAGCTTACTTTTGTAGAGAAGTAGTTAACAGATTTCCACTGT